TCTCCCTTTCGGTCTTTTAAAAACTTTTCTTACTTCTGGCCTCTCCGTTTCTTTCTCCCTTTCGGTCTTTTAAAAACTTTTCTTACTTCTGGCCTCTCCGTTTCTTTCTGTGCGGTGTTCCCTATTTTCTCCTCTAATTGTTATTCTTGGTCTCTGTGTTACCATATCTTTTTCTCTTTCTTTACAGTTTTATAGTTTATGTGTAGTTTCTCTATATAGCTCCTTCTCTGTTGCTTTTGGTTTCTCTGACTTATCTTTCTTTGTCGTATCCTCTCTTCCTCCTCCCTTCCTCTCTCCATTTCTGACTCTCACGTCCTTTGTCACTCTCTGGGTTTCTCTTTCTGTCTCCCTCCTTCCTGCCCTCCTCTCTTCTCGTCCTTTTTCTTTTCTCTTTCTCTCTCTCAGAATCTCTTTGCTTCTCTCTCTCTCTCCATCTCTCTCTCCTCCCCTTCTCCCTCCTTGTCTTCTCCAGGCCGGGCTCCCAGTAGTTCCCTGAGGCTAAACCCTTCCGAGGGGCTGTCCCAGAGGCCCTATACACCCCACCCGCCTCGTCCCACTGCCTCCCGCCGGCCGCGCGCCACCCTGCGGGCTCGGGTGTTTGGGCGCCTTCGTTGTAGGCGGACTGTGGGCGGTCTACACTGGCCGGGCTCGAGGGAGGGGAGGGAGTCTAAGTCACGGCTGGAGCTCCCAGCCTTCCTGCCTCACCTCCACCTCCAGGCCCTACTCAGCCGCCGTCTGAGTCTGGGGACTTACAGACACCCCAGAGAGGGACTAGAGTGACTCAGACCTTCGGGTCTCTTCGTGGGTGTTTTCCTGAAATGCTTCTACTTTCTGCGCTGTACAGCCCGGTGAACGCCGCCATCGGGATGGGAAAAGCTGGCCCTTCCGCTGGGGACTCGAGCATCTAAGAACCAGAGCGACTTTCTTTGCCTTTGCTGGCCGAGCAGTCCCTTCCTCGAGGACTGACGTCGCTTTCCAATTTCCGTCACTTTTATTCTATTTCCCCATAATAAGACTTAGTGGTTTTTGTTTTTCTAAATTATTTTCGGTGTTTTGCCAGGGTGACCCTCGATTCTAGGGCCTTTGGGGGGACACATGCACGTCTTTCTCTTTCTCTCTGGTGCCTCGCTTTGCGCAAAAGGTCTCTGAGCGAGAGGCCCGCCCGTGGTGGCGTTCAGGCCGGCTCGGGGACGGGGACCTAGTCTCGCCGCGGCCCGCGGGGGCGCCAGGTTTCCCCACTGGGTGCCTCGGCGGCGTTCGCCCTCTCTGAGGGCTTTTCTCCGACCCAGCCTTGCCCAGCTCGAGACGGGCTATGAGTCTTCCCGTTAGGGAGCTGAGCCTACTTGTGTGGGGCCAGGTCGCGACTCTCCCTCGCCCATGCCCACTCAGAGCAGTGTGGGCGCCCCCAGCAGGTGGGAGCGTTTGTGAGCGTGGCAAGGTGTTTAGTGCCTAAACTCCTGATACACGAAGCCTGGAGGTCGCCGTTTCCCCTGTGGCTGCGCCGGACCGGAGCCCGAGGACGCCCGGTTAAGGGACACGGCTCGCAGCTCCCCCACCAGGAGGGC